ACTCAATCTGCCTGCCTGCTTTGCCTGATTTTGGGTAAAAGTTGCTCATTTTTTAATAAAAAAATTCAATATTTATATAAATATTTATAATATTTACATGCCCAGCCAGTCACATGACCACCAAGCTATACCCACAAATTAGCCCACGCCCACAGAACTGGTTAGTGGTCCCTGGGATTTAAAATTATGAGTTTGGTGGTCCCTCAGGTCCAAAAGGTTGGTGACCCCTGTTCTAGTCCAACCTTCTTCTGCACAAGCAGGAGAACCTAGACCATTTCAGACAAGTGGTTGTCCAATCTCTTCTTAAAAACCTCCAGTGTTGGAACACCCACAATTTCTGGAGGCAACGCGTTCCACCGATTAATTGTTGCAGGTTGGAATACAGTGTTAAAACCCAATTCTAGTGTATCTGGCTCCCGCTCCCCTTTCTTTCCAGCCCACCTTTGCCCTTTATTTGAATAGACCGGTTCACTGGGGAAGTCTTGGACAAAATAAATTATCCCACACTCCGTTGCTTGTGGAGTTCCAGTAGATACATTAAAGCTTTCCATATGGTTTCATTTACTCTGTGGAAGGACAGTTGGCTGGGGGAAAGGGTGGGTGGTGGGAGAGCGGAGGCAATTTGATCACTTTTCTAGCAAATATTCATATCTGCCTAGGGAAACCCCATTTCACACATCTGGAGCGCTGTGGCTTTATAGATCAAAAGTATACCGAACAGGCTGAGTTTGCACAGTATTCTAAGCTGTGGTTTCTTTAACTACAGTTGGCTGAACCATCGTTGGGGCCTACTTCTCATATAACATTAAACAGCAGCAATGGGATGGATCCATGCAACCCATTAAGTCAAAATCAAACACATTATGGCTTGGCACCAAAGTACGAACATGATCCGGAGAACCTACTCCTCATTCAGCATTGATCCTGCAGTCACAAAAATCACACATATTATCCTTCTTGGAGCATAGATTCCACCACCCCCCTCCAGCCGCGGCACAGCTCAGATGACAAAATTTTATTTCTAAGTTTTGACACTGGAATTCAAGAGCAACTAATAGGCAGGGTGAACTTGGAACCCTCTCTAACAGATTTCACAGGCCGTCCTATCAGCAATCCCAGTATAATCTTTCCAGTCAGTTTTATAGCTCCTGTAAAAAATTGCCGGCTCAATTTTCCTGCTTGTATAAACAGTGCATGGTGAACTCTTGCATCACCTTGACTCACCTCCCAATCTTTGGCCTCAAGGGAGTCATTTTTCTCTCCCCCTCAAACATGTGAAGGTTCTATAATGTGACTCCGGATTGTAGCTCTCAGGAAAGAGGCCTGACCCAAACCTATCGCACTGTGCCATCATCAAAAATGTATATTTGGGAGGAATGGCATCTTGTCAGCCATAAGCTTTCCCGTATTTTAACCACTCAGAGGTTTTGCAAAGTGGCCAGACAAACACAGGCAGGGTGGTGTTGACAAATGAGGATGGGAGTTAGCTAATCCTTTTTTTCTTTTACCCCTTTTGTAATTCTAGAAGCTTCTGCAGCTCATGCGAAGGGCAATATCTGGATGGTCATTTTTGCATTTGCCTATTGTTGGTGGAAGTGCTTGTTCTCGGTGATATGAGTTGAGGAGGAATGAGGATGATTATGTTCCTGCTTGGCTTCAAAATGGTTTTGGAAGACTGGGGAAGTAGAAATAGCATTATGTGAAAATGCCCTCAATCTGAACGTATTAAACTATAACTGAGAAAATTACAAGCTCCCTACTACAGATATTCCGGGTTACAAGCACTTGACCATTGGCTGGAGATAAAGACTGGACCTTTACGTGATGTTAAGCCTGTGCATGAAAGAGAAGAGTAAAGAGGAACAAGGGCTTTGGAGAGCAGTTGTGGCATGTCTTGGATGGCCTCCATTCAAACATCACCTTTGCCATAAATTCATACGGTGGATGTAAGTCAGGGACCCAAATGTGGCAACTTTAAGACTTGTGGACTTGTGAACTCCTAGCATAGCTGGCTGAGGAATTCTGGGAGTTGAAGTCCACAAGTTGCCAAGTTTGGAAACCTTGGCTGTAAGCCAATCACAACCCTTATTCCTCTGCTCTCAGTCGAGAGCAGAGGAATAAGGGTTGCGATTGGCTTACAGCCAAGGTTTCCAAACTTGGCAACTTGGGGATGATCAATAGAGAGATTCCATGGATGGTTTTTCTTACAAAGCCGCTGCTTTGTAAGTAGGTGGAGTGCTTTTGGCTCTCAAAAAATACAACATGGGATTACTATATTATTTTTTATTTAGTGAATCTTATAAGTGGAGAGCCAACATAGAATTATAAAGCTGTCTGAGATAAGTCAGTCTATGTATCTGTGTATCGGATATGCACTTGGCCTAAGTCCTTCAGAAGAATGTGAGGGTAACAACATCATGTATAAAATAATGAAAACAGGACAACCCTGAGGCTGAGCAATGAGGATGTGTCATTTTATCCATTAGTATGCATGATGGGATCGAGTCAGGAGAAGTTAAAACGCATGAGATGTTCAAGAGCTGATGCATTCCTTTGAAAATTATGACCTTATTGCCAGCTTTTAAATTTGGAAATTATGAATCGTTTCCCTAAAAATAATACCAGCAGCTAAATGTTGGCTTTTGTTGGCTTTTACTGTGTGAACAGGCTGTCCAGCTGTCCAGTAGAAGGTCTGTAGTTGCCTTCTAAATTACACAGGCCCCAATAACCCCGTGTAGGACTAAATCCTAGGGTAGTCAGTATTCATTAACATGCTGGATTTTGGTCTTTTCCCCGGTTTGCCTATAATCCATATATGTTCTTTCTCCAAACTCATTGTCAGTACAGTAGATGCTTAGGATAAACTCCCCTAACCTCGCAACTATCACGCTCCTCTTCATTTGTCAAGCTAGTTTCTAAAATAGCCAAAAGCCAGACAAGGAATAATGGATGGAAACTGAACAAGGAGAGATTCAACCTGGAAATAAGGAGAAACTTTCTGACAGTGAGAACAATCAACTCATGGAACAGAAGTTGCCTTCAGAAGTTGTGGGAGCGTCATCCCTTGAGACTTTCCAGAAGAGATTGGACTGCCACCTGTCAGAAATGGTGTAGGGTCTCCTGCTTGGGCTGGGGGTTGGACTAGATGACCTACAAGGTCCCTTCGGATGATCTGTGATCTGTTAATTGAATCAGTTTATTTCTGTCTTGAAGGAAAAACATTTGTGCCTAAGGAGAGACCAATAGAGACTCGCGCAGAAAAGAAGGTGACGCTGGATCCAGAATTAGAAGAAGCCCTGGCCAGCGCCTCTGATACTGAGCTGTATGATCTGGCAGGTGTGTGGCAAGATGGTTTGTCTGTTTGCTTCACAGCAGGGTCAGCCTTTCAGTTACTCCAAACTTGTTACCATTCCAAGCCATTGCTCATGTTCTCTTGTTGTCCACAGCACACAGATATGGCTAGCTTTGGTGAACGGGCGTGTATATGAGTGCTTCCCTACCGCAACTGGGAGCCTTGTTCTAAGTGAATCTACTAATGCACTAATAGCACTCCTTTGATTGAGAAACCCAACTTTAGAACTGGGGTTAATGGCAGTGTTGATTATGTTGGATAGTCAAAGATTTCAACATTCAGATATGCTAAATATTAAAAAGATCTAAAGAGCCAGTCAGGTACACAGGGAGGCTTGAACAGAACTCAAAGCATATGCATAAGTATATTTTCCAACACAAAAGAGCTGTCAACCACATGCAAATATTTGCTCAGGGCTATTATATAAGAATATAAGTATTATATAAGAGGATAGGTATGCATCTAGCCAATACAGATTTCTGACATCCACACACTTATTGAAATATATGCAGATGTGTCTTCACAACTTTTCCCAAATGGGAGGATTATTCCATTTAAGAGAAGCATTATGGATTAAATAGCTATTAGAATGCTGATAGTATAGCATGAAGGAGCATGATGGCTCAGCTGTTAAAGAGCGCTGGATAGCTGACAGCCCGGGTTTGAGACCTGAGTTCTGTGCAATGGGTGAGGTCCCATTCCTTGCCCCAGCTCCTGCCCACCTAGCAGTTCAAAAGCATGAAAATGCAAGTAGATAAACAGGTACCACTTCAATGGGAAGGTAACAGAGTTGTGCACCATTGGCATATTGTCATGCTGGCCACATGACCACGGAAATTGTCTTTGGACAATGCTGGCTTCCTCGGCCAAGAAATGGAGTTGAGGACCATGCGCTAGATTCGGACATGACTGACAGAGAAACCTTTACCTTTAGTATATCATATGGCTCAGTTGAACAGGTACCGAACTCATCACTGTCCTTTTGATGCCCTAGTTTTATCTGCTCTAGTTTTTATCTCAATCAGTTAAACTGCTGTAGTTTAAACTCATCATTCCCATCTGCTTTCATATAAATGATCAGCCCATTTCCATTTTTAAAACTGGATTTTCAATTTTTGAGGTTACATACCAGGTTTTATTGGATTGCACTTTGCATTTTCAATTATGTAAAATGTTATCTGGTGAGCTTCTTTGAAGAGGCAAATTTTTCCTAAACAGCAGTATAAAATAATTTAAATAAATCATCCTAAATGCAAAAACAATCCACCTGATTATCCTCCTCTTGATATATTAGCTACTGGAAAAGCAGGAGATGCTAGATGAAGGTCGTGTCTTTTTAAGCCATCTTATTGCTGGTATTTCTGGTACTTCTAGCTGTCCTTGGAGTTCATAACTTGGTCAACAACCCTAAGTTTAATGAAGGAACCATCGGTCAAGATGGCAAAGGAATTGTGAAAAGTAAGTAGAGATGTTTCCCTGCACTCATCACACCAAGCAATAGAACAATGTTCTGCAACCATCAAACTACTTATGCTGCTAATCTTTTTCCCATTATGATGATTGTTGCAAAGATCCAATTGGCAATTAGTCAATGTGGCAGGTCTCCTAAACTGCATTCCCATCGTGAATGAAGCAATTAGGAATTTGCTCTGTCAGGCACTTTTGTTCCAAAAATAATATTTCCCCCCTTGGGCAGTAGTATTTTTTTTAATAATTAAAATAGCTAGTGAAAAATCTATTTTAGGAGTTTCTACGAACTGAGTTATATAACTGAAAACATAGCTGGCTATGAGAAGTTAAACATGAGCGTAACCTATGCCCTGGTTTAATCATGGTTTATTGAATAAATCAAAATTGGCTATGTTTACATAATCAGTGAAGCTAAAACCATATTTTGAATTATCATGATGTATGAAAATTTATGAATGCTTATGCCTAGTTATCTGCAAAATGAGGAAGAATTTATGAATGTTATGCCTAGTTATCTGAAAGCCTTCTGTTGAGTAAACAAAGTCTTGAATAAGGGATAAAGTGTTTGCAAAATCAAAATTTGTAGTCGTGCCTACTAGGCAGTCTGACATCGCCCTCAATTGTTAGAAGTGGACAAAAGGGTTTAAAACAAGGAGAGAAGAGAGAAAGATGACTTTGTAGAAATGAGAAAGCCAAAACTGTTATAAAATAATCCACCAGATTATACTGTAATTCATGGCCTAGAATGCATATGTCACTTTAATGAAAATAGAATTTCTAAAGAAAATTTTGCATTAATGGTGTATGGACGGAAGGGTGGCATTAGTGCTTTTTTTTTTTCTCCAGATGTGGTTAAAGGTGAAAAGGTCAAGCCTGTTTTTGAAGAGCCACCTAACTCAACAAATGTCGAAGCCTGTTTGCAAAGAATTAAGGCAAATGATCCCACTCTCCAAGAAGTCAATCTGAACAACATAAAGGTACTTCTATCGAAGTCAATCTCAATTGTTTCATCGTCACAGTCTTACTTGTAAAATATGTTGAGATGGGTT